CGCTCTCTACAAATGCAAAACACATACTAGCTCGAAACAGAATCGTAAATTACCCGAAACTCACCGTGAATACTGTTTGCTTAACCATCCCCTGGCTTTTCTCTGCCAGGCTTATATACTAACAAAGATGCGTCTCTCGATCACACTCAAGCTTTCTCGATAATTTGAGAAATTCAGTCACGCATGCTCTCAGTGTCACGTGACTTCCGCTGTCGTAACAGTATGATTAAAATGTAATACGAGTTTTTACAAAATTTAATTAGACTTTGTAAAAATATATACCAAAGATATCATCTGGAAACCCATATATTTAAACAATGTATTTAGATATATATAAGACAAAAATACAAAAAAAGTTTTGTTTAGCTGTATTCTGCAATGTATAACAACTTATACAGATTAAAACATTTTACTGTAAAATTTAATAACAAATGTAAAACAGCAAACATTCTTTCTTAATAATAAATCTATAACAACTTACATTAATAAACATTTTACTCTAAAAGTAATGATGGAAAATATAACAAACACAAACTAATGTCAGGAATAACATTACTGTTCATTAGAATATCTTTAGGATATTCACTTTAAATCGTTGTCCCACATTAACAAGTTCTAGATTTGGTTCATATTTGAATTCTAAGGTTGAGTTTATACTTCCTAGTCCAGTATGACAATTCTTCTGATAAGAATAACCAACAGATGTTGTTCTTCCTACTTGACAACCATCCATACACAATGGCTCTCCTCCCCAAGGCCAGGGGTTTTCTTCTGTATTTATATTTATTGTGAAATGGATTAGAAATTCTTTGTTTTCTTTACTTTCCATGGCTGACATAATAGCATTCTTTCCAAAATAATTTTTTTCCTAAGCAAAGTGGAATAGTGAAATGATTATTAATTACAATTTCATATTACAACAGCTCACAGTTTTCAACTAAGTAAGAACATTAAATATGTTGTAATATTAAAAAAAATTCACTTATCAAGTATAGAAGTTACGTACAGGTATGCACGGGCTCATAGATTCAAGAGGAAAGAACCTAGAAACCTGAACTTTAGCACCGATACTAAGTGGACTCTGAGGATGTGCACCTGGGTATTATTACTTACGTACATGCATACATGTGCATCTTTTTATGCAACAAATCATCTAGAAAAAGGATGTGGCTACCACAGGTCCAAGAGAAAAGAACCTAGAAACATAAATTTTTGCATCCATATTAAGTGGACCCTCAGGGTGTGTACCTGGGTATCATTACTTATCTTATCCACGTGCGTGTGCGCATCTTTTTAATGAGGTAAGTTAGCTACCACACAGAAAAGTAGTAGTTCCTTATACAACAACTTTTAAAATATAGAAAAGCTCGTGCATTCTGGTAACAATGCATTCCAATAATGATTTTTATGTCATGTCACTTAGCAAAAAAGTATATATGTTATACTTTTATGGTAAAATGGGTTCATAATACACCCACTGTCTACCTAATAACCTGAGCGAAACCAGGTACTTTTGCTAGTATATATATATATAAAAGAAATTAAATGACAAACTGGATCAGGCATAAATATTTAGTATACTTACATGACTTTATACTAACTCACATATAGTTCTTCAGTGTATAAAAAATACACAGCTTGAGTGATGAAAACAACAATACTAAGTAGTGTATGTGCAAATTAAAACAAAAGATTCCTTTCATGTCAGTTACAGTATGTATCAGAGTACATAAAAAACTCCTTACACAAGACAGTGCAGAAATGTCTCCTAGAAATGGTATTTTCCCTATGCCATATTCATATCCCCAAGCAGGGATTCCTTCCTCAACTCTCAACCAATCAAGTACTTGGGTTCCAACCTCTGCCACTCTCATTTTACTCCCAGCATCCAATAAGACCTGTCTCACACCTATAACAAACTAAAGGCATATTATTGTGTAGAAAATCTATCTTGTTACATGAAAATATAAGAACAAAAAATATGATAGGGTGCAAATGTATTAAAACAGCACATCAATTGTCATTTAATGAGCTTTACATACAATATCTCATTGATTTACCATAGAAATTATGTTGACATTCTTTCGAATTAACATTACTAAAAAATTAATACAAAAATGATATCTAACTTTCTTTAATGCTAATATTTATTATGGCCATATTTGGCATTAATAACAGCTTGTCATTTAGTGGCATTGTGTTTAACTATTTTCTCAAAGTCTCTGATGTAATTTGATTCCACTTTTCTTGAAGTTGTGTCCAGGGGCTTTCTTTAGAACAGTTGGTACTTTTGTTAAACATGGAGTCTGGCAAATCCCAGTTTCTTTCTATGGGGTTAAGGTCTAGATTTTATAGAAGCCATTCCATCACTGTAGATTTCCTAAGATTTCTTTTTTTTTTGCCAAATAAGCTCACAAGTGCCTTTGAGATCATTATCTTCTTGAAATATCAAATTTTGCCCAATCAGCTTCTTTCTAGAGGGTATAGCATGATGGACTAATATATATTTAGTATTTATACTGATCCATGGCTCCATTAATTTTGTAAACATTATCACCATCAGTCATAGATATTGCACCCCAAACCCTCACAAAGCCTCCTGCATGCTTGTCTATTGGCACAAAGCACTCCTCTTTCAACCTCTCATTGACTCTTTGACAAATGTATACATGCTAGTTGGAACCAAATAGTTCAAATTTAAACCTTGTGCTACTGTTCTAAAGCCCAAGATACATGTTCTAGGATGTTACAAGACTGAGTTTCCTTTTATTTTCCCGATATGTACTTCACAGTAAATCACGAACAGCTGTGGTGTTTTGCAACTTTACTTAAACTCCAACCAATATTATGTAAAGATTTGACTCTATTTCTGTCAGAGGTTGTTAAATCTCTCTGTTTTAGCATCTAAATGGGAACACCATACTATATTAGCTGTATTGTAGATTGTCAATGTTTTCTATTCCTTATAAACTTATAGTCAAATTAGTACATACTTACCTACACCTCTACAAAAGATATTTTCCTAGACAGAAAATATATTTCCCGATAGGTACTTGCCGCCTCTCACATGTATAGCTATACTCGTTCAGTGCTGCCTTCTATATGCAAAAATTTTTCGCATGCCACAAACCTTGAACTTCCATGTACCTCATGATCAATGTGGTTCAACTGCATCTCGCATGTAAATCATCATGTTGCAATCCTCCACCAATAGGAGTGTGACACTTTCCTGATGCATGTGACTCCCTCTATTCGATTCTACTGAACTAATCACTTCGAGATTAGAAAGAAAAGAAAAGCACCAATTTTCAGTGTGGAAGAAGGATGAGAAGTACCCATCATAAATATATTTTCAGTATAGGAAAATAATAACTTCCGATATGGTATATTACTTCTTCTCGCATGTATAGCTAGAATACCATATTGAGTAGGTGGAGGAACCAGTGCAAGGAAGAGAAAATAAGTATCATTTGAAAGTGCCTGAATGACACCCACGACGTGTGATCTTCACTGGGAGAGGAACACACTTAGAAAACTGCACCACATCTGTATAAGTTATATTCTGTGCTCAGTGTGTAGATAGATGTTACATACATGGGCAAAAAGTGGAATGAGCACAACTAAAAAGGGAGAGACAACTGGTTGGGTTGGAATCCAAATCACAGTATATCGGAAACTCAGTCCCATAGAAAAAAGACTGTAGAAGAACTGTATACAGACAGGAATGTGGGGAAAGCTAAAATGAAAGTACTCCAAGGTGTAGACATGGCCAGTCAACTCCAGTCCAAAACCAAGCGGTATCAGAAATAGAACCTCCAAGGTTACAAATCCTGTTACAAATCCACAACCAACCAAACATCTGAATGATGGTAGGAATGTGGTAGGTAACATCAAACTTAAACTCAATCAGACTGATACTCCACTGCACAACATCAGTCTTAGGCAGTGAAAATCCCTGAGATGGAGCAAGAGATGCCCTGTTCAACATCATCCTCCAGATAGGACCTCATAGAAGCCAGATTGCAATGCTACCCTCTGGGTCCCACCATACATAAGTGGATTGCCTCTAGAAATATATATATCAACCTCACTTTCCAGATTATACTGCACAGAAGCTGGGTGTAACATCTACCTTTAGGATCCACTGTACAGAGGTGGAGATCCAGAGGCAAAGTTAGTGAGGAAGAAGTAACATAGGTGTGAGGATTTAAGTTGATTAGTCCAGCTCTAATCCAAAACCACTCACTGGAAACTGACATTTATGTGATGGTAGGATGAGGGATCCCAGTAAGAAGGAGGGAACCTCAATGTTATAGATTTTCTCTAAAGCATCATCATCCTCCAGATGGGACTGCGCAAAGGCTGGAGTGCAATAGCAACCTCCAGTCCCACCACACAGAAGTGGACTCCATCCATAAAATATGAGCAATCTCACCTTCCAAACAGATCTGCACAGAAGCCGAGTGCATCACTAACTTCTGGGACCCACTGCATGGAGGTGGAACGTATTTATTTGGAGACATGTGCAACATCATCCTCCAGATAGGACTGCACAGAAGTTGGAGTGCAATATCTCTTAAACTGTGAAGAAGCTGAAATTGAGAAAAACAAAATAATAAACAAAGGTAAGTTATTGTGGCGAAATGCTACAGAAAAAACTAACTGTAGCAAAGGAATAAATCAAGCAAATCACTACTTCACAAATAAAATGAAGTGAACGCATGAAAAAGAGCACAATTGAAAAAACGTCTGCAATCAATCACTGCCTAACGAGAAGTGATAGTTCGGTAGAATTGAATGGAGGGAGCAACATGCATCAGGAGGGTGTGCCACACTACTGAAGGAAGGTTGTTGCATGATGATCTACATAGGAGATGCAGTTGAACAACACTGATTGTGGGGTACCTGAGAGTTCTAGGCTTGTGGCATGCGAAACAATTTTTGCAAAAAAGGGCAGCAATGAACGAGAATAGCAATGTGACAGGAGGTAATGTATCATATTCCAACATTAATTTTAGAAAAAGACTGTCCTTTTCAATATATATTAGGTTCCTAAGAAAAATAAGAATATAACATTAACAGTGTTTAGGGTAATTAAATTTTAGTATAACTTTTCTTTCAGCTACTAAAAGATTAATGTCTGATACATAACAATAAAGAAATCCACCAAAGCATGTTCAAAATTTATTAATTTAGTTTAATTTCTTTAAAACAGAAAATTGACGGACAAGAATGAAGTATAAATGTAGCAATGATCATTAGTTAGTAATACACAACTCATTTTTTATGTAATAGTTAACTTTTAAAAATAATTTCTTTATTAGTAGTAACAACAATACTTACTGGTGATTCAATACAAAGCAAGACACTTTCCAGAGGCATTGAATGACTTTGCAGAGTTAATATATCTGATGCATAACCAATTTCTGATCTCTAAAAGTAATTTAAAGTGATTTATAAGCAAAATAATATTTGAAATAATAACAAGTAATGAATAAAAACAAGTTTCTAACAGTTTCATATATATGATTGTGTTAGTTTAACATCTCATTACCTATTAATGAAATGTTAATATAACTATTCAGACAATAAGGTCCAACACAAAAAGCATCATATATAAAACTAGGGTACAAATTACACTAATGAAAAGGTTAAATGTACCTTAGTAAAAAGGCATCTGCACAACGCTATAAGGATGTGCACTAACATTTTAAATGCCACCTGGGCACAGTCACCAAATATTTTTAGATGTCAGAAGAGATTTTTATGGTAAAAACAAAAATCATCAGCTCAAAATTATAACCATGTCCATTTATTTTTTCCTCTTCAAATAAATTACCATTCACGATAAATGCTGAGTGTTATCACAGTCAATGTTATGTCTGTGGTTCCACTAAAAGACTGAATCTTAGAGTTTAGTAGTCTAAACGTAGATTGAGAAACCTAGATTTCATTCTTGGCATTTGTGAGCATAAGTATGAAATTGTGGCCATGTTTTAACATGTTATGATTTATTTTAAATCTAGTCCAAAATCTAGTATTTGGATTGGATGAATTTATTGAACTATAAACTAAAGAGAAGTTGTGCTTCCAATGTAGCAATAGTACTGATAATAAACAAACATTATATGCCTTCAACCTACAACTTTCAAGTCTCATTGAATATCGCTACGATCTGTCTTGACCTTCTAATTAGCCTTAAGACACCTGCAATGTTTTATTGCTGCTAATGTTAGTCTAGGTTATTGACTTGAGCTCTTATATCTGCTCTTAGTGTTTGAAATGCTTTTTTTTTGTTACAAACATGAAACTTGTAAAAAGAGGTTAAATCTGATAGATCACATATCTCTACTGCTATGCGAGTCCTAAGTCTTCAGATACCTTTCTTGCTAAGGTATATTTTACTATTCCCACGAGGTAGTTTTTACCCTTTTTTAACCACCTTTTATGTGCATTAGTTTTGTTTTGGTATTGTTGTCTGAATAGTTGCCTCGTATATATTTTGTCTGACTGGTTGTAATATACTAGGTCATGAAGAAATTCGTGTCACTTATTTTTTGATGAAAAAACCCAAACAACTTATATATCAAAAAAACATTTATTAAATGAAATAGTCTCCATTCTTATCGATGATGCTTTTCCATCTTACAATCAGGTTGTTAATGCCCTGATTTAAGAAATCACTTGGCTTTGAAGCAAAAAACATGTCGATGTCTTCTTTAACACTTTCCACATTTGCATATGTTTTCCCATTAAGATGGTGTTGCAGTGAACGAAAACATGGTAATCTGATGGTGCCATATCTGGAGAATATGATGGGTGGGGGAGAACTTCCCAACCCAACTCCATAATCTTGTGTTGCATCAAACGTGCCACATGAGGATGTGCATTGTCATGGAGAAGAAAAACACCTTTCTGATTGACAAGTAAAGGGCGTTTCTGATGAAGGGCTTGATTTAAACGTTCCAGTTGCTAACTATAGATCTCTGCATTGACAGTTCACTGTGGATTGAAGAGTTTGCAAATTTCGTTCAGGTGTCTTAAGCCTTAAAAACTGTGATGGCATGGGCAAACGTGTTGGAATTGATATTGATGCTCTGAAGATGCTTGTTGAGTCTAACCCAAGGCAAAAAACTCATGAAATGGCCCTGAAATTGCATGTCTCTCATGAAACAATATGTAAATATCTAAGAAATATGGGAAAACTCCATAAAGAAAAAGTTTTTGGGTGCCTCCTGAACTCTCCGATGATCATCGTTTCCAACATGTGAACATTGTTTCGTCTCTTCTGGCGCATAATGCCCATGAAGCATTTTTGGACAGAATTATCACCATTGATGAAAAATGGATTCTCTATGCACATATTAAAGGCAAAAAACAATGGCTCAGTCCTAGACAAAAATCACGTCCGACCCAAAAACTTGGACTCCATCCGCAAAAAGTGATGCTTTGCATGTGGTGGGACATCAAAGGAGTAATTCATTTCTGAGACTTACAAACGTTCAAAACATTTCTATAAACTTTTTTGATATTCCTTGTGGCTACAGATGCTTCGTTTCCTTTCTTGTATTCAAGCAGCATTATATGCCGAATGTGTGTTTCATCATGTGCCATCACTATAAGGGATTATAGTATACTAAACTTTACACATTGTATAGGCTACACTAACGTGACGTTTAGGCAGTTCATTTAACTATTATATGTGATGTACGTTTTATGGGGGTGGTTAATGAAAGTGTTCCAAAACATGACATGAACTTCTTGATGACCTAATATATATACACAAGCTCAAATTAACTTACTAGATTTCAGTAATGATCTGATTATCTTTTCGTATCAATCACATAGGAAAACAAGAAAAGCAAGTGAAATGCAAGTAATCTAACTCAAAAAATATTTCTCAAAACTTTGTACCTGGGTTAAACCACAGTGCATATTCTTTAAAAGGCTTGGTATAATTGTGAAAAATTTTATTGAATGATGATTTCCTAAATAACTAAAAGGAAGCACAGAAAATGTATTAATTTACATTAAATAGTAACATTTACAACCACAATCAGTGGACTATAAGGATAAATACACTTCTAATGAAGGTGATGGTGAGAAAAGAATAATCAAAAAACCAAACTTATTTTGAACATGAAAGATGAAACTTTCAAATAATAAAATCTTGGAGGAGTATTATAAAAAGTTAACAAGTAAGCACTTTACTCAGTTTGGAAATATCTGACAGTAGAAGATTATACTATGGAAACCAGTGTAAAAATATGAAAGATAAACATTTTATATAAAATTGAAGAGTACTTATCTTAACTAAAAGATAAAAGAATCAACTAGTAGTACTTGTTTTTATTTTGTTGAAACTGAAAATATTTACCAATATAACACTTGTCTACTTTAATTCAGGATCCTGACTCTCTAAAGCACTAAGAATAAATTTATTTTCTTGTTTTTCTCAATCAGTAAATATAAATAAAATACTGATGCATATCAAGCCTAATTTTTCAAATGAGCATATAACTTGATATACGATGGTATTTTACAAGATTAAATAATACTTCAAGCAACTTCACTTGCCCAGTAAAACAGATCTGGCACCAGATATGTTGCCCATTTACTTTCAAGGTTACCCTAAAGGTATTCTTTTACGTTAAACATAATCTATGAAACAAATACATCCAAAACATCATGCATGTTTATGACTTACTTTATATTCATTCTTTCCTGGATACTCTGCTTCCAGTAGAGAGAAAACATCCTTTACATGAGAACCAACCACTCCCAGGAAAGTATAAGATGATGTTAGATTTGTTAGAGATACTCCTTTCACCTTCTGCTTGTTTAGCCAAAACCTTACATATGTTTCAGCAGACAGAGGACAGAGCATCAAGAAGCTATAAAAGAGAGAACAAAAAAAATCACCACATATATGTAGCTTAACTTTTAAATAATTTCCTACATAGGTTCTTACAATTACTTTAAATATAAGACAGGTCTGATATAGTAAATATAGTACTACTAGCTGTGGTACCCGTCTGTTGGATGGGTGAAACAAAAACTCACTTGCAACAAAAGATACAAAATTGTGCTTTTACTTATTTTTTCTTAACATAATAAACATTAAAAGCTCAATAGAAATACATAAAAGTACCAATACTGAGAAAAAATGTCATACTGTATTCAAGAATTCTAACAATATGAAATTAGATAGGGGTGACCCCCATGACCTTCCTCATGTCATCCTGTATCATGTTGTGATGATTTGGTAGTTTTTTTTCCAAAAACAGATATGAAATTAGATTGGGGAGGGTCCAAACCTTCCTCATATTATCTTGTGTCAAGTTTGGTACTGAATGATCAAGAAATGTGGAAACACATAAGGAACAGATACACACACGCACACATGTTGATGTTCATTTTATACAGATGGAAAAGACTTATCTAAATGAGAAATTCTGGAATAAAGCAGAACAATGAGTCCCTTGAACCAGAAGTAGCAGCATCAATTCTGTAAGAAAGAGAGTTGTGTTAAAGAATGCACTAACCTATAAATGAACTGTTCCAGAGACCTGAAATAATTCCATCACAAATTCCAAGACCGTCATAGAATACTTGAAACAAGAATTTTTTAACTCATGGCACTAGAATCCCTTGACAAACATTATTCCATTATTATCAAGGGAACAAAAGTGATAGAGCATTTAAAAAAGCACTTTAACACCAATTAATAGAGAGTAATTTACCATGACAGCCTTAGACCCATAAGCAAAAAAAAACAGACAAGATACAGCTTCTTATACAGACAATATACAGAAACTACATCAGAATACATACCCATATTTAAAAACAGAAAATGGAGAAGCCATCCCTACTGACAAGCCTGTGAAATACCTTCTTAAGTGTTGAAATACTATATGTGAGTAATGAGAGGGAATGCTAAGGGTACACATAAAAACCCAGGATGAGCAGCTATTAAAAGTAGTGGGACCAACTTCCATCTAAAAGGTAAGACCTAAAGGTTGAAAAATTGAAACATAATCTCTAATGGTAGTAGTAAGGTAAGATAGATAGTATAATCTAAATACCACAATAATGTTTGTGGCTTGACAAGGCACTAGATTAGGTTAGGCATATCCATGCTGTCTCTTATCTTGAGTAACTCAAGAGAATGGAAACTCTAGCAAACATTGGATCAACAATGTCAGTGTTTCACTTCTCAAACTTGACAGAACAGGTCAAGCAAAGAGAAAGAGAACATAAAAAGGAAGAGGAGAATACAAGGAAACTGTGTATCCTACTATGTGCTCCTTCACTGACAACAGCATTCTAATCTAGATCTGGCAGTTTCTCACTGAAAGTTTCAATCACAGACTTGAATAACTGTATAGTAAGTACATTCTACACAAAACATTTTATTGTAAAATGTAATGTTATCTCTAATTAGCAATTACAGAAAAATCTACCCTCATAAAATGTTCAGAATGGTAATGAATACAAAATGGTAGTGTTTATTTTAATAAATAAAAGCACATCTTTATTTATGGTACTGAAACAACTAAAACTAAAGATTTGCCAATATTAGACAATAAATATCCAAAAAAGATTAATCAAAATTTGAAAAAATACTGTATTGTATCAAAGATAGGGCCAGTATTTATACATTCATTACCATTACTAATACTAAAAATTCTGAGGAACAAAATACAAACTTTTGATTTTAATAATCTTTATACTAGTCCTCTCACAGATAAAATTAATTTCAAGATTTATTACAATTATTGTAAATTAATACTTTCCTTTAGTAAATACAGATGTTTCTACTAAAATGTTACTCATAAAAAATCTTGTTTCAGAATAAATAATATTGTTACATCTCTGGTCGTTAGTTAATTACTCGTAAAAATTCTTTTTGAAGAACTTCAGCGATACAAGACCTTTCTCAAGTAAAACTAGTTTATTCTTTCTCAATTCAACTTTGCAATACACTTAATTTCCACAGTCCCTTTAACTTAAACACACACTATAATTTTCAACGAATGATTCATGTACTTTACTTACTACCGTGCTTGACTCAATTGTCCGTCTATATCTTCAATCTCTCTGTCTGCTATTCAATTGTTGCCGTCACTTTATTTGCCGGCTTATATACTATAAGAGCGCCAGTCTAGCAACTGCTAGGATGTTCAACAAGTTCCTCGATCTTTCTAGATACTCATTACGTGTTACCAGCGTCACGTGACCTCCGCTGTTGTAACACTGACCCTTCCTTAGTATTGTTCGACCCGAACAATAGTCACTTAAATTAAACCAATAGATAATTAACAATAACTTAATTAAATGTACAGAATTTAAAAATACAAAATTCAAATTCAACAAAGTCTCTTAATATTACGGGACGTATCTTCTTCCATACTGGTCTCTGTCTCATTGGCTTCTGCTTCATGTAAAGTTCATCTGCTCCATCAGGAAAAGTCCTATTATCGGTAATAGTCACATCAGTGGTAGTAACTTCATCAAGGGCTTCACTGTTTCCTTTCTCAAAACCGAGTAGAGTTTCTTCTTAGACAGTGGCTTTTCCAGGTGACACGTCTTCAGTGGCATCTTTTGTTCCATTGTTCACTTCGTCCCAACTGAAATGTCTTGGACGGTGGTAAAGCCAAAGCCTGTTGGCATGCACCACATTTGGCTTACCTCGGTGACCACATTTTATTCGGAAAGTCACATCTGAGAGACGATCCACTTTGCCATATGGGCCTTCCCATGGAGGAGACAACTGAGGAGACTTCCCTTTGGTCTTCCTGGGATTATACAACCACACATTGTCTCCTGGTACAAAGCTGACTTCAGTAGATCTCTTATCATAAGTTAACTTCATCGAATCAGCAGATATTTTCAAGTTTGAATGCACTTGATGGTGAATATCATCCATCCTTTCTGATAACACTTTCACAAACTCTGACATATTCTCAGGCAACTCTTCAAAAGGTGGGCGTCCTGTTAACAGATCCACTGGCAATCGAAGTTCCCGACCAAACATCAACTTCGCTGAGTGTATTCAGTGGCTTCATGCTCTGCTGTCCTATAGGCCATCAACAGTGGAGGTAGTAAGACATCCCAGTCATTTTGGTGGCTATTACAAAACTTTGCCAATTTCTGTCCAAGTGTCTAGTTGTACTTTTCTACCATCCCATCAGACTGTGGGTGAAGTGGCATTGTTCTGGTCTTTCGTATGCCAAACAACTTGCAGCATTCATGAAACACAGCTGATTCAAAATTACGGCCTTGATCTGAATGCAGTTCGTATTGCATACTAAATCTGAAGAAGAAATCACTAATAGCTGAAGCTACTGTTGTAGCTTTCTGATTTGGTATTGCATATGCCTCAGTCCACTTGGTGAAATAATCCATCACCACACAAATGTGCCTGTTTCCAGCACGAGTTTGAGGCAAAGGACCAGCAATGTCAACAGCTACTCCTTCCATTGGTGTGCAAACTTGATATATCTTCATTGGAGCACATCCCTTATGCTTGGGTCCCCTTTTAGCCCTA